TGATAACTATCTGGACATTATAAAGATTTTGCATGTGAAATTTGAAAATTTTCTGATGCATAAACGTATTTTTAATCTTAAAATGAAAATTAGTTTACATGTTGGATAGGCAACATGTGAAAAGAAAAAAATAAAGCATGAGAAAAACATTGCCTAACAAACCTTAAGACTTAAAAAATTTTGATATTTTGTTTATGAAAGCATTGTAATGTTTACTGATATTCTGCAAAATTTCATTAACAAATGCTTACTAGTTAAAAAGCTATAGCATGAAACTATAACAAACACAAAATGGTTATGAGGTCAGTCCCAGGGACCAAGCCCATGCTGAAATAGTTAAATGAAAAATAAAAATATTTAGCCATAAAATCTAAAGAAATTCTTAGAGTTCAATGAATAAAGCATATACATGCTCAAAAGTTATCTGTTCAAACTGTTGCTTTATGGAATAATTTGAACAAAGTAGTTTTGTATCACCACTGTGTGTAAAATTTAGCTATGCCACACTTGACTTTGTTATCTCACATCTCTATGATGATAACTTGAACCAATTTGATTGGCATTGAACTGTCCACTTTCTAAAATCAAAAGCAATTAGTTTTATATCAAAACTATATCAAATTTATATCAAAATTACTGAAATGAAGTTTTCAGTCAAAATCATATATTTGCCATGTAAAAAAATATTATTGAATATAGCAACTCTATTAATATCTATAATTTTTTATTATAACTGCAGACAAAAATAAAATGTTAAAGTCCTTTAATCATTCAAACATTTACAGCAAAATATTCATGTAAAAACAGAGTTCTTAACTCAACTTTTATTAAAAAATAAAACAAAAAAGCAAATGGAAGAGAAAATTGTGGCAACTGTTAAATGTGTCAACTAAAAAAGCATAATATCACACTAAATAACCATAACATTGGAACTGATTTCACAAATAAAGTATTATATGTAGTTTGGCAATAGTCTCAGGTGAATGACAGTAAGGTATGAACAGCTTAAAATTATAATGGAGACTGTTGAATTTGAATCCTTCACATAAAGGCAACTCCGCTACTGCTCTAAATAACACAAAAGCTTACTTAAACCAACATTTTGTCAATATAGCATAATTAGGGCTCTAAAATCTTTATTAGTAAAATGCCACTTCTTAATTACTCACAAATTATTTAATGATACAACTGTACTCACTATAATCATAGTGCCAATGTTGTAATTTTATAATGTTCTATTAAGTATTAACACAATAAGTTCATAAACAGCACAGAGTATAATGATCAATTATTATGTTCTTTACTTGCTTAGTGTTGGAAGGGCTAATGAAACAAAAACACTACCCATATTCAGGTAAGCTATATATTCTCACAGATAATGAGGTATTCTGAGGAAAATCCTTATATCCTTCACCAGGACAAAGTTGTACTGACTGGCCAAAATGATAGTTTCACTAAGAGTATCTGATACATGATGAGGTGCAAAAAAAAGTTTTGGCAGTACTAATATTTACCAAAACCTTGACCACAGATTTATGTAACTTCACAGTCACATAATAAGCTGCACCAAGACCATATCTCTGGGTCCAATCAGACTGCTGCACCAATCCAGGTTGATAAGCAGAAAGAACTCAGGCTCCATTAGCCTAAATTTTGCTGATAGGAAAGTTAAAGATTTTGTCAAAATATAATGCAAGCAACAATATCATCAGGAATAAAGTCTTGCCATAAGTGTACTCTTTTGTTGAAGTAGGAATTGCTTTAGGACATCTTGAATCAAAAAGTGTAGTCCTAACAACTAGGCTAACAGCACCAGAGAAAAATAAACTAGAAATGATTAAAGTAACAACTGTTTAACAACTTATATAAAAATGGAACAACTTACATGAAAATATTATATAATTTTACTATCTCAAAAATAACTTTAGCTTGCCAGAAAAACAAAAAAAAATTATTGTGACAATATAGTATTTACAAATTCACCAGTTGCTGGCAGACTGTTCCAGATAATTGGAGAATTAATGAACACATCTAAAACCTACTGTCTATACTGCCAATGCCACAATTTACTATTATTTTTATACTTGGTCACACCTTTGAAACTTTGGATAAACCCATTTGATAGCTATTTTTTAAACATTTATAAACAGCCTGCATAATGATCATTTAGAAATAAACTTGGTAACTTAAGAGACAATACATTTCCATATTAGTCACATCATCCACTATTCTCACCCATGTAGTTACCAAGTTCATATGGCTCCAGAGTTTACTATGTGATTTTAATTGTAATCTCTTTTTTGCTGAAGTAAAAATAAATAACATTATTATAAACAAATTCACATTCAACTGTTATAACATCTCTTTATCGTGCAGAGAAGAAAATAGCATTTCTAAACAATTTTTCAAAGCTGCACATTCATGGTGAATACTAACAATAAAAGTAGTTGTTAAAAGAGAAGACTATTACATTAATTTCAATGCTAATCACATTAAACAGCTATTTTTATTAATACGTGTATGAATTAAGCAACAATAATATTTATATTTTTTTCCAGTAATACTAGTAATTAGATTCTATAAAATTTACTACTCAGAATAATTCACATTGAAATACATGAACAATTTGAATTACCTTGTTATAAACAAAGTAGTAACAAAGTAGTGAAATGAGCAAAGGTTGTCACTGAAACAAGAATTTCCATATAAAAATTCAGAAAAAAACAATGGTAAAAGACTAAACTCCAGGAAGCTGGAAATAGGGGTATTAATCTAACTACTGTAAAGGTCAGTGAAGAATGTGATCAAAGAAGAGCATGTCATTAAAAATGAAACAAAGCTCCAAAAAGAAATGCAAGGAAAACAAAATTGCTACTCTCCTTCAAAAGAAGAGTTTAACTTGAGTTAGTTCATAAGAAGGCACAAAGAAACATCTAAGCATTGGTATGAATTCTTGCCTTGCTTCCTCCAGCCTTTATACCCCACTATATTGCCCAAAGCAAGTTAAATCTTATGATTCTCTCCACCTACATTAATGCACCCCCTATCCCAGATCCATATACAAGTTCCCCATTAGTACTTTCTATTCACTTTTTCAGAAGGTCCAAATTAGTAGACCTGAACACTGGTCATTTCATGGGGAGGAAGGGCGAGAGAGTATGAGAGTATTATTGGAAATACATTTTCAATATAGGAAAATTTAACTTCCAAAACACACTTATCTCCCCCTCACACTATAGCTAGAATCCCACATTGACAAAATGGAGGGGTGATGAGGGCAAGATCCACATAAAAAGCGTCTGCATAAAAAAAAAAAAAAGGTGGAAAAATGAGATATAGTAATAGCACATTAGTGGGTTTCGCACTACTTCAGGAACAGGTATGCTCGTCACCTGAACAACACGAAATCTTATTCATGAGTGGTAAATGCCAACTGACCACAGAGGCAAAACCTAACATCATTAAAAGAAAACATGAATTGAGGAAATGGAGAAACACGTGGCACAGTGGAATGAGAATGATTACCATTTTGTCTGAGAAATCACTGACAATAAGTAAACATTTCCTTTGATAAACATCCAAGAAAGAATACCAAATGGACTACTTTAAGAAAGATGCACCTGAGAGGTCAATCCCTGGCATCATGCAATGGACCGCATAAAATCCAGGCATGAAGTCAGAGAACGGTGATAGCCAGACGAAAAATGTCCAACCAAGGCTGATGTAAAAGGGATGGCCAGAGAGGAAGTGGAAGAGGTTGGCACTCCTGAAGATACTGTAGGAGTGGAAACCAAGGCTGAGAGCATCTATGCCCAAAGCCCGAGGGTGAGGTACAGGAGACCAGAAAGACAGGAACTGGGCATTTCAGTCTGTGGCAAAAGCATTGATCTGAAGAGTCCTGAGACGAAAACAGATCCAGCAAAAAATTTGTGGATGAGGCATTAATTCTGCGGGAAGAACTCTTGGGGGGGGGGGGCAAGAGAACTGATCAGACACTAAATTAATTACACCTGGAACATGACAAGGAAGGAGAACAATCTGATGACTGTGGACCCAAAAGAGAAGATCCAATGTCTGAAAACAGAGAGACCTGGAATGAATGACCCCTTGTTTGGAAATCTATGAAACCACAGTGGAATTGTCCGAGTGAAGCATTACACTTCCCCTGGTAACAAAGCAAGACCTTGAGACATAGCTCGTTGAACTCCTAAAGAATCCAAGAGATTGATGTGAAAAGAAGATTTCTCATCTGTCCAGAAGCCCTTGAATTCCAAATCCCCTATGCAAGCACCCAATCTCTGGAGAGAAGCATCCATGAAAATATGTATCTCTGGACATGGGGTGGGAGAGGGACACTTACTGTCGTGTTGTCCCTGTCCAACCACCAGCCAAGCTCAAAAGGGCTGGAACCCAATATGGTCACCAGGCAATCCAGCACATTTGTGCAAATGTTCTATTGGTCCCGTAACGACCACTAAAGGGAAAGCATGGGGTCTGACATAAAGGACTGAGTGATTCCAAGGATGCCTACATCCCCAAAAGAGATAGAACTGCATGTGCCAGTGGAGAAGGATATGACTGTATTGGATGAATGGCCCATTCCATGGCCTAAAGGCATATAGGAGAAGGGTGGGCCTTACTGAGATGGGAATTGGAAAATACTACTAAATGGATGATGTATTGTGTGGGAGTAAGAATATACTTCTCCATTCTGATGAGAAAGCCAGCTCTTGTGGCTTTGGATAAAAGAGCTCAAGTGTGAAGTTCTGCCAAGTGGCAGGAAGGAGCAAGTCATCCATATGGATCAGTGAGTGTGAATGTTCAATGAGTGATGATGATGTGAAAAGGATCTGACTATCCAGCAAAAGACGTATGAGACAGATGTGAGGCCAAAAGGTAGCAAGCAAAACTGAAAGAACTGTCTCTCCTGCACAAAGTGGAGATAAGAGTGGAATCTCCCTTTTGTTCCAAAAGAATGTGGATCCAATACAGGAGGTCTGGAAACCCTAACGAGAAATGCAGGAAACCATTCGGTAAAAGACCAGGAAAGGCGAGAAGCCAGTGTCAAAGGAGAAGAGTGGGGATGGGTTACATCCACCCTAGATTCTATGGAATCTGGAATACCTGCAGAAATCAAATGTCTACAAAAAGGAGCTTCTCCAAGATGTCTAAAGGCTGAAGAAGGAAGTTGAACTCCCTCAAGCAAGACATCTTTCCCCAAAAGATCCCAGCAACAAACCAACAAAGAAACCAAGGAGAGAGCAGAAGCTGATAACTTTACCAAAGTAGAAGTCAATAAATATCTAAGATCATCTGAAAATTGAGCATGAAACCCAATAGGCCTCAGATAATAGTTGCAAAGAAGATAAAAAGTGTAAAAAAAACTAATGTAAAGGACAGATAATTTGGGAAACTGAGTTAGGTTAAGACAAACATAGGAAGAGGATTTAGCCTCTGAGAATCTAAATAAGATTCTAAAGCAATGGAAAGCTAAGGCATGTTGATGAGGTAAACAAGGAGGATAAAGCATAGCAGCATTCTCTCTCTCAACCCTTTACCCTAACTCTACACTCATTTGTTCAATTTGATCAACCTCATAACCACCATAAAAAATACAAAATAAATTTAAATTAGATTTTTTTTCTTTCAAGAATGACTGCAAATTGTAACAGGAAACTACAGTTGTTTATCCTAAAGCTTGTTACAGCACCGATCTGTTTATATATACTGTTATTGTTTTATTTCCCTGTCTAACTAATATTCCCATCACACAAGTTATAAGTCACTCAGCGAACGTGTAACTCACATTACCATATTGAATTACATACAGCAATATCTACTTGTGATCATACCTTTATATTATTGTTTTTCTTTGTCTCACCTAACCTGGTATGTTTTAAGTTTTACATTTTAGATTCTTTTATAATAATAATAAATAAAGAATACATATTAAGAACAAGAAATATAGTACTTACCTGGGTCTTCTTTTTTTTTTTTGCTGTCAATTAAACCTACTTTTTTATACCAGTGGTATTAATACAATAAAAAAAATTTTATTTAATTGAATAATGCTCCTAGGAACAGAGAATAACAACACATTAAAAGCAGAAAATGTCCTATAACCATCGTAATTTTTCTAGCTTTTAACTATGTCCCCCATGGGAATAAAGTTTGAAACTGGAAGTGAAATAGACAATTCTCTGTACAGAAAACAGCACAGTCCCTTGTTTGATAGATTAAAACTTTGGCTTTCTATTGGTTATACATAATATAGTATTGAAAATTTTAAAAAAATTTCCTTATAAAATTAAGAATTAAAACTTGTATAATATTAAGATTTGGATTATTAGCTATATTTTGATGCCAAGTTTATTTGTATACCATGATAATAAAGTACTTTAATTAAATTTTGAATGTAACACAGTAAAACCTCATGACATGTGAAGAAAAGGATGTCCATGTGGAAAGAGTTAAACCTCAAGTAATATGAAACAAGAGAGAATCCTCAATAGCTTGAAATTCTTTTAGGCAGGATTAAATTAATCTACGAGACTTTTTCTTTCCTTTTTATTAGCTATATTTTTGTGTGCCAGCAATATCAAGCATGGGGGGCACTTGTATACCCAATTCAATTTTATTACTCATCAGGATTTCAACCAGCCTACCCTCAAATTGAAATTCTTTTAGGCAGGATTAGAGTAAATTAATATATGAGACCTTGGGCATGGTAAGAAATGGTTTGACTTCCTGAATCCAAAACTGTAATTAGATCTCAAATCGGTCAATAGATGACAGAGCTATGAGCTAAAAGTTTGTACTTGAAAATATCAAAGACATTCTATGAGCTGCTCTGTCACTGCTAAAAAAAGGTAATTAATATCAAATAAATAAAAGATGAACATAATGAAAACAAAATTTTAAAACCACTACCATATAGGTACCAATATACAACATTACTAATTTTCAACTAAATATACAATTAATAGTTAAAATAAATGTTCAATATTAAGCATGTTAGAACCAAGTAACTGCTAAAAATTGTTAAATAAGCAGGATTAAAATCATATTACAGTAACTTCACTTTCACATAACAAAAGGAATTGTTATCACTCAATAACAAATTAATTGTGTCAGTAAAAAACTGGGTATCATAAAACTCAAACAAAGAAGAAGTAATTAAATTACTAACCTTAAGTCTTTGAATCTGGTCATCTAGTTCCTTGTTCAAGGTAAGACACAATGTAGTACCTGGCCTATTAGTTTGTTTGCTGTTCAATGAATCTATTATATTCTTGACAGAATCTAACAAGTGGCACACCCTCTACAATTGAAAATAAATAAATTTACAGCAAATGAATGATTAAAATAAAAACTACAAAAACTCAAGCAGTGTTCTTTCTTATGAATTTAGGATGCAATTCTATATTGCATATCTGAAGAAGTAAATGGTGTCATCAGACTAAATACAAAATGTTATATCTATTGGAATTTTTTAATGATTACCTCAAGGACATAAATTATTAGTCATAAACCAATTGTTTATCATCAAAAATATATACGAACTCTATACTGTTTGTAAAACATAAAACTGATAGTGATAACCCTACTATGATCCACCTACTTGCAATTGTTATGCAATAAACAAAAAACCTATTATACTAAGATCCAATCTGCTTGGTGGCAGTCAAGGCAATTAATAGGTAATTTCAGTATAGACTGTTACAAAAAAAGTTAACAGTTCAACTCCTAGTAATCAATAGCATTAGAGGGCAAGTTAGTGCACTACAATCTAATAATACATTTGATAGCAGTCAATATACACCAAACAACAAGCTAATATAAATCAAATAGTCAATCTACTATGAACCGTTTCATGCTAGATACAGGCTTTATACTAAAGTTTAGCAAGTCATCTCCTACCAATCAACCAGCTATTAGAAGTCTAACAGCCAATATGCTAACAAACATTAGACATAAAAAAATAGGTTATTGCCACTAACTTCTAATGGTGTACCAGGTTGGTGCCACAATGCACCAAACAACAGGTTACTGTACTAAAGTCCAATAGCAATCATTAGCACCATACATTAGGTTATTACCCCAAGGTATAACAGTCTGCTACAAGTAAAATATGCCCCAGACAAAGTAAGCTCTTAGAAGTCTAGGACCAGATAAAACGTTATTATATAAAAATCTAATTTTCCACCAACTTGCAGACACTATATGGAAACAATAGACTACATATAGTTGCTTTGCACCAAACAACAGGCTATTGTAATTAAGTCTAATGATTAACTTACAAGCTGTCATTAGCACCAGACACCATTATTGCATATATAATGTAATATTAAACCTGCTACCAGTCAATACAAACTAGAGAATAGTCTTTGTGCGCCAGTTTCACAGTCCATCTATTGGTAGTTGCCATGTGCATTGTACAATAAGCAGCTTAAAGATATTCAGA